AATTTCTGATTTTCAAGAAAGAGTGTATATTTAAGAAGTCAGTTTTGGCCCCAAACATGTGCTTTCTCAAATAAAAAAAATTCTCTGGTCAAAAAAGAAGATTCTGAACTTTAAAATATTGCTGTTAGAATTCATTTTGTGCTAGGCCAATGACAGCTATTAAAATACAACTTTATCTCATTAGAATTAGGTTTATTTAATTAATTTATATAATTTAAATATATAAATTTATATATAATTTAAATTATATATATTAATTATATATTATATTATTAATTAATATATTAGATATATATAATTTCAGTTTCATGCAAGTAGAAGAGTCTTTAAAAGTGGCTAAAATATGAATAGACATTTATTTCTCTTATATTAAAAAAAAGGGTAACACTCAAGAGTTTCTACGTGGCTCTACCTTTAGCAGGGACTCAAATCCGTACGTGGCTGTGCTCTGTCACGTCAAGGGTCACGTGAATGTAGTCTGGTCCAAGATGGCTGTTAGTGGTCCAGCCATCACATCTGTGTTTTATGCATCAGTATGAAGGAAGGAAGAGGAGCAGGTTGGGTCTCTTCCTTTCAAGAAATGTTCTTGCAGGTCTTACACAACACAGCAAAGGGGCCTGCAGACTTAGCTGGGAAATCATGTGCTCAGCTAAGAACGGGGGCTCTCTTAATGTGAGGAAGTTGGACAGAATCACTACTGGTGGGGAACTAGTCATCTTTGCCAGACTGTGGGAGGGATGTTATTGCATCAGTCATAAGCCTTGGTGTGAATAAGTCTATCAGTTCCGTTTTGAAAGCTAGATTTCCAAAGTAAGGAAGACTGGCAAGCACATTAGGGTGCCAGGCAGGGGAGAATGGAGCCTCCTGAATGAGGTGGATGGAGGATATTAAAGACAAGCCTCCTCTATTTTACAGTTTTGCTCAGAGCCAGCACCAGCTCAACTCCATCTTTCTTATTTATTCATTTGCGCATTTAAAGAATTTGGATTCTATACTAACAGGGAAGGGGTCATGCATCACTTATATTTATTTTCTTTCAGAAGACTACATTTAAAAAAAACAGATTTAATTCTTGGTTTGTGCTCTTTCCCCTTTTTTATAGGGAAACACCTTCTAATGCCAAGATAGGTTTGGATTTCCATGGTTATTATATTCATCTTTGTGAGTGTGTCTCTCCCTTCCTGTGAACCCCAAAGGGCATGGAAAAATGGCATCATATCGATAAAATGTGATGCCTTCCAAGGCATTCTTTAAATATCCTATGTGCAAATATGGTCAAAATGAATAATTCAGACCAACTGGAGTGAACATTTCTCCATAGTTGCTCGGGGTAAAGCTGGCTGGCTTTGCAAAGTAGTTCTCTTTATAAACTAGCAACATGACTTTATGATGTGACTGCATGGCAAGCCAATTTAAGTGATTCAAGTCTATGCATTTAGTATTTTCCAGTCCTTTGGCTTTTAGAAGTAACATATAGGGGAGTGTTAAGGTTGAGATAACAGAGGGTGGTGAACCGAAGATGCTCGAGAACGCTACAAAGGAGCCAAGGGCAAAGGACTGAGCACACCTTTATTGAAAAGGGCTCTCGGGCGAGGTTCCGCGGCTTGGGGGTAGAAGCAAGCAGGGGGGAAGTTGCGCCTCGAGACTGGGGAGAGGGGTATGTATAGGACTGTAGTTCGGGTGGAGACCAGCGAGGGCAGGTTTCCTTATTTGGTCTCGCTTTTTCTGGGTTGGGTGTGGCTTCTGCTGAGGTGACGCGTCTTCTGAGAAAACGGTAGTGGGAAACTGGGACCGGGAAGCTGGTGGCGGGAAAGTCCTGAGGCGCTCATAAGATGGAGTCCGATCTGCCATCTTCGTGTCTTTTTCCAGACCCATCAGACCCGCCATCTTGGTGTCCTTTCCCAAACCCGCCAAACCTGTCAGGGAGAGCTTCTGCTCATGCTACACCTTGTCAGAGTCGCTGATGGAAATTTCCTAACTTTCTCCATTTGACCCCACCGTTCCTCAAAATTTCTCTCGCTTCCAGCTACCTCATCTTTCCTGTTTTGATACCTTGAATCACAGTAAGACAGGAATTTCAGCAGGACATTGAAGGAGGAAGGAGATGGTAAGAAAAAAAGAGAAAGGTGCCATGAGGAACCTGATGGTGCTCTCATGTTTGCTGCTCGTGTGCAAGAAGATCCCTCCCTAATCAAAATGGTGACATGGGTGCAAAGAGAACACCTTCTGGCCTCTTGGGGCAGCTTCACTTCTGCCCTGCACTCACTATCCCCAGTTACTCTTCACCCCTCCCCATGTCTGGGTAGTAGTATGGATTTCTCTCAGGGATGTTGGTGAGATCAGGAAAAGGGTCCGTATTGCATATGATGCATGGAGAAAATGTCATTGAGAAGCCCAGTTCCAGCAAAATAAAATGATCCCATTTGGTTCAGGGAAAATGCTATCCCCAGTACCCCCAGTCTCTCTCTCTCTCTCTCCTGCTTTTTCCATCTCTGAGGCTTCTCTCCTCTTGCATCTGTTCACCTCCTCCCTTTTGCCTCTTCTTTCTCCTAAAGGGCAACAGAAAGCCTGCTGAGAGCTGTGTTACTTTCCCATGAGACATATGAATTGTACATTAAAACGGGATAAGCACTAAAGAGAGAAGCTCTGTGGGTGGAATGTTCAGCAGAGTGAATCATGGAAAGAGCCGACTCCTGGAGCCAAAGGGAGCTGGAATCGGTCCCCGGTTCTGTCACTTCAACACTGACTGTCTTGGGCAATTTACTTGTCTTTTCTGAGTCACCGAGTTTTCGGTTTATAAAGCTGAAAAATTCCTGCCTCATTTGAGAATTGATTGAAGTTATGTGTATAAAAATTAGTACGATATCTGATGCGTAGTTGGTGTTCAGTAAATATTAATTCTCTTACCTGATCGTAAGGAGACGAGAGTTGTTGAGGAAAGTTGTAGAGCCTTCCCAGTATTCTGATCGTCTGGGAGCTGTGTGTGTGTGTGTGTGTGTGTGTGTAAAAGAGGGAGAGAGAGAGGGAGGGAGATTGTGAGCAAGTTTAAGGAAAGTAAGGTTATTTAATTGCATTGATTTTTCCTGTCTTCTTAAGTCCTTTTGTTGTCTGTAGCTTCTGGGTATGAAGGAAAATGGAAATTGAAAACAAAGGGACCTTGATAAACCAGATGCTGGAATCAACCAAAGCAGTGGTTTGGGGGTGATTTCTCCATGGGCCAATAAAAACCTAATAAAATAATTGTACTAGATTCCTTGTGTTTTTTATTTATTTTTGAGAAAGAGAACGAGTGGGGAAGGGACAGAGAGAGAGGCACACAGAACCTGAAACAGGCTCCAGGCTCTGAATGGCAGGCAGCAAAGAGCCCGATGTGGGGCTCGAACCCACGAACCATGAGATGATGACCTGAGCCGAGTCAGACGTTCACTCGACTGAGCCACCCAGGCGCCCCTACTTCTTGTGTTTTTTAGATCCACTTTCTTCTTTTGGGTGGTGCCAATCAGGTGACATATTTTGTTTCTCTGAGGTTCATTTTCTGGACTGGCCAGTCCGGGGCCAATGCATTCTTTTGTCACATGTGTTAATATCACTGTCTTGGGATCTGTCAAAATGAAGAAGAGCTTCGTTTGCTTTTCCAAGAAGCGATCCGAGAGTCTTAAGTGCAGAGATTCAGGCCTTCCTTCGCACCAAAATACAGGAACGAGGCATGGATCTCCCAGCTTTTTTCGCCCTTGGCAAATGCAATGCCCAAACAGTGTTTGGCCGTCCTTGTGCTGTGGGAACCCAGGCTTCTGCTGTGTCTTCAGGATCCGGCCTCGGATCATCCGCTGCTTTCTTTATGGTTGGGAGAGGGTCCTACCCACAGGGCCCCTCACCCAGACCCGAGTCACCCGTCAGGAAATGCAGAAGGCCCCCAGGCTTCTGACAACAGTCGCTCCTGGGGCCTACACAGTCATCTTCCCCCTGAGTGGAACAGACTCTTGCGTTTCCCCAAGGTAAAAACTCCTTCGCCTTTTGGTTATGATGAGATTTTATCAGCCCTTCCTTCTGGTTTGTTTGGGAAAATCATGAGCCACATAATTTTTATGTTTTCATAAAAATTACTTGGAAGATAGATAACATCTATTATATATGATATAATCATATGCAATTATTTGTAATAATAAATTAATGATTAATATTGATAATAACTGAAATTTAAAATGATTTAAAATAATAAATTATACATGTAATATGTAATATAATATATAAATATAAAGTATATATAATGATAGATATTATCTATATTGTCTACCATATTATAGTTATTATATATTATATATTATTTAATATGTAACTATAATATATAAATAGATATTTATCTAATTGTATATTATCTAATCTTTATTATCTATGTTATCCATCTATATACATGTAGATCCCAGAGAGATAGAGATAATATGAGGAACTGAGTTCGATAGCCATGAAAAGAACATTAAGCAAAATCTAAGCGTGTTCATCGCAGGGAAGACCTACAGATATTTTTCCAGGAAGGGTATAAGCCTGGGTGGCATTCTTGGCTTGACATATATGGCCACAGTTTATTCATTCCCCATTCCCATAATAAAGAAAAGTGGAAACTTGGTAGGTTATAAGATGTTTACCCACTCCGGGGGCTTTCCTGATAATCCTCATAATATTCACTGTTGAATTACTTTGGCAAGGGCTCCTGACCTTTGGCTCCTGAGCACTCGTTACATCTGACATATTACTATGTCTCGAATATAACGTATATCACGACCAAAGATATTTGATAAATTATTTCAACAAAATTAGTTTCACCTTTAATAGTGAGAATTTTATTTTTGGCTTTTAAAATCATTATTCTGAGAAGAGGTTCATAAGCTTCAGAGAACTATCAAAGGATCCATGGCACTAAAAAGCTGCCAACCCCTAAGGGAGTGGAAGAAAGTCTTTTTACATTACCCACGGCCTCATTAATCTCATTGTCACTGTTGCAGGTCTGCCTTCTGTGATCTCGCCACCATGCCCCTGTTGATGTGTGCCCTCTGTGTCTATGATATACTGTAACTGTCGGGCTCTCTTTGGACAGAAAACTTCTTTCAATACAGTAAAATTCATAATGGAAATTTTCTTCAAATTTATTTCAACATTTATTGAACAAATCTTATCTGCCAGTTATTCTTCAAGCCAAAGAGGATACTAGGTCAAAACAAATTACTGTTCTTTATCAACTTAGAATCTTAGAGGGATGTGTGTGTGTAATAACTTTTTGATTTATGTACCCCCCCACCCCACCCCCACCCCAGATCTTGGAAGCATCTCAGGTTTAATGAAGACTTTCCAACATTCCAGACCGCTGCCCTACAATGAAGCTCTGAGTCACAGTCTTTGGGTCTAAGGAGTTGGCAACAATGTGGAACCCCAGGACAGCCAACCTGATGAACCTTCGCTGTAACCAAGATCCCAAGAGGAGTCTGGCGTGAAGTCAGAGCATCGAGAAAGACGTGCTTGTTAATGGAAACAGGAAAGGAAAAAAGGGTTTCCAACAAATTGCAACAAACTTTCCGCCGTTCTAAAGAACCTACCTTCCTTATCAGCCAAGCCATTCTATCTAGTGACTCCCAGTCCAGCCTTTTGCCAGAAACAGAGCATGTCAATCCTGCTGGAAAAGTAAAGACAGGACCTCAGAAAACAAGACCTGGGACGGTGATACTCTCCAAACGGTCCAGTAGGAGACTTATGGCGGAGAGTGAGCCCAGCCCGCCTGTGATCCTGTCCCGCAGGCCTGGGTTCCTCGTGTGCTATATCTGCGGCCGAGAATTTGGCTCCCAATCAATTGCCATTCATGAACCCCAGTGCTTGGAGAAGTGGCGTCTTGAAAACAGCAAGTTGCCCAAGCACCTGAGGAGGTCAGAACCCTCCAAACCACAGCCTTCAAGGGGCGTTGGGTCCTACAGTCTTCAGGCAGTGAACGAGGCAGCATTCCAAAGTTCCCAGGCTCAGCTGCTGTCCTGTGACTCCTGTGGCCGCACATTCTTGCCCGATCGTCTTCTTGTTCACCAGCGAAGCTGCAAGCCGAAGGACGAGGGGCCCAGAGCACCAAACCCCAACAGTTCTGATGATCTCACGGGTGCCAGGAAAGCATCCGGTGGCCTCCCAGCCCGACCAAAGACTCTCACCTGCTACATCTGTGGTAGGGAATTTGGCACTCTGTCCCTTCCTATTCACGAGCCCAAATGCCTAGAAAAGTGGAAAGTAGAAAATGACCGGCTCCCCAGGGAGCTCCGCCGACCACTCCCACAAAAGCCCCAGCCCCTTCCAATGGGACTGTCCAACCAAGAGGGGCCGAGTCAAGCTCAGCTGGTGCCCTGTGCAAACTGTGGCCGGACCTTTGCCCCAGACCGCCTTCTCGTACACCAGAGAAGCTGTCAAGTTCAACCTAGTGGGCCAAAAGTTCAGAACTTGACCTTAGGGAGTAAAGATGGCCTGAAAGAGTCCACTAATTCCAAGCAGCAAAGAAACATGGCAGCACCCACTGTGACTGATAAGGTAACTCGTGCCATATGAGATGCGTTGGGTGGACCTGGAGGTACATCCTGCCTCCAGGGGAGTGAGAGAAAACTGTCCCCAGAGTCCCCCCACCCCTAGGATGCTTTCTTTCAATGTCTTAGTTCTGCCTCTGTGCAGCCTGTCCAAGTGGACCCCTGTGTGAGACCCCAGGGGCTGTGTCTCTGACGGCAAAGTGGAGGTAAGAACACTCCTGCCTGGTGGGCTGATAGTCTTTTTCCACTCTGCTGCCTAAACGGAAGAGAGATGGATGTCTTTCTTTCCTGATTCCTCATACCAATAATCCTTGGGAGAGACTGTTATTTGAAAATGAGTCATTAGTGCTGTGTCTACATTGCAGAGATATGATCCCCATTCCAATGGCTCATATTTATTACTGGTTTATTTTAGTCATCTACCTTAGGAATTCATTTTTGGCAATGCCAGGTTATGCTGAGTTTATCTTGCTAAAATAGAATCTGTGTCAAAAACCCCAAATGACTTTAGCAACAATTAAACACTGGAGCACTTGCAGAAATAGACATGCTCTTCAAAGACATGTTAAGTGTTAGGTTTTCCTTTTAACACTTAACACAATTATAATGTGTGGGAGATTAATCCCAGGGGACACTCCACAGCAACTAGGTGTGGGTTTGTGGTTCTGGGAAGGGATCAGCCCCCATCACTGATCTGTACCTTGAATTTGGGTTGGATACCAGGTTCTGCTCCCCATTTGGGTGACTGGGAATAAGCATGACCCCGTGGACCCCCAAACTCTATGGTGAAGTATTATTTACCTGAAGTGTCCGTGTCAAAACCAGAACCAGGGAAGAATGCATGTGGCTCCTCACACAACATGGTCCGTGTGCTGTCATGAACCCTAGGGAGTGGATACGCTGTTCTGTGTTGTACTCTGCAGAATGTCAAAGCATGAGAAATAGGAAGTGATCACAATCTTTTCTCTGTGGCTTGCTACTAAAACACCCCACCTCTGCAAGGACTCTTTCCCACATTTTCTCCCCGCCTCAAGTAGGCTCCACACCCAGCTTTGGACTAGAACTCATGACCCTGAGCACAAGAGTCACATTCTTTACGGACTGAACCAGCCAGGTGCCCCTGCAGGGACTATTTAAAGGACGGTTTGGGGAAACTGACGTTACCCAAGCTATTGTAAAGGATTCAACTAGAAGGATTGGGGGATGGAAGGGTGGAGAAAGCAGCCTTTATTTTTAATACAACTTTCCATCCTTACTTTTTTTTTTAATTGCATTATATTGGCAAACTTCTAGTGCTTTTCCCTAACTTTCATGTTTAAGATGAATTTATTAGAAACTTACTGGTTTACAAGGTTCCAAGACAATGTTTCTAAAGCCAAAGGGTCAGACTAAGAGATGCCAAGCAAGTTTTCCAATGCACATTGAAGAAAGAAAGGCTAAGTGTCTGTGCTGAAATCAAAACCCAAACTCTTTAAGTGTGGCACGGGCTGCAGGCTGCTCTCATAAACATGATCTGTTTTTCCCATCTTCTAGCTGTTGCTTTTCTTCCAAAACGTGTGGGGTCTAGGTTCAGAGAACAGAGGAATCCACAACTCAGAAAGTCCATGAGCTCTCTGACTTGCAGCCCTGTTTCCCGATCGTATGCATTTACTTCCCATGGTCTCAGTGCAGATCTCGAGATAGGGAAGAGCGTGGTCAGGAATCTTGAGCTTGTAACACATACTGTGTGCCAGCAGGCTGAGCACAGCATGTTCTCACTCGGTCACGGCTGCTGAACGAGGCTGGCCTGGGCCCACGCCTTCACAGGAAGACACCTCCTGACTCACCCAGTCATCTGGAGGGGAGATGTCAGAAGGAGAGGTCAGCGATGGCCCTCAGTGACTTGTGCATTTAGATCAAAGTAGGGGGGAGAGGCCTGTCAAAACATGGGCATCTGGAGGATGGGCTCGGTCACGGCATAACCCACCGGGCTCCCAGACCTGAGAAGGCACGTGTCAGTGAAAAACTGGCACCCTCTACTGTCATATGTCTGCTGGCCCATTCAAGGACCACACAGTCGTTCGTGGGGGGCATAGGGAGGTCATCCAACATAGGGTCCTGTTAGCTGCCAGACTTAAAGCAAGCTTACATTAATTAAATGGAGAAAATGGGCAGGCTTCAGAGAAGCATAAGATTTCTTGGAACATTGAACTTTATTTCTTCCCTCGAACAGATATTTGCCATTCCACAGTGCTTTCAACAGGAAACCTCTCCCGGGTAGTGTGGTTTTCTCTTTGGGTTACTATTTGATTCTGTTCTATTGCTGTTTTTCTTTCTTTGAGTCATTTAAAATTTAGATAGTACCATTTCCTTGTATCATTTAAAGTTGAGATGGTGTGGGACATAATCCATTTCCCGTAAAGATCCCTGCTTTGCACAAGATTAGATTTCCGTATTCCATCTGCCTGTGACAGCCAACTTTTGACCACGACATGATACCCACGCCCGTTCTTTTCCCAATTCAGATGTGTGTTTCTTCTCTTGTCAATCAGAGCAGTTTTCCTTGCAAACCCTTGAGCTGACCTCAGATCAGAATCCAAGATCTTGCCTGATGCTCTCAGTGGGGCTCAATCTTGTAGTAAATTCAGGTGGGGAAAAATCTTTTCAGAACCATGATCACAGTGCTGGGAAAACCATTCACTCCAGTCGGGCAACAATGACCGTTTCGCTGGCAGGGTGAATTCCCCTCTGCTTGGAATGTTCTTCCAACATAGACTGGCTCAATTCTCTTATGACCCAGGGGCTCCTGTTTACCCTTCAGTCAAATCTAAACACAAATAAAGGCCACTGAGAAGAGTTTTTCTCCAAGACTTCCGTGGGCATTTGGCTTTAGCTCCGCCTTGCCCACGAAAGCACAGTGTGGGCTGGAATTGTCCCTCTGCTTCTCTTCCAGAAGACAGGCCTGGATTTACCCTTTCTGATCTGACAGGCAGGCTGTGAAGGAGACTTGGCAGGATGTAAGAGGCATAAAACCCTGAGTGGGGATTTTTTATTTCAACAGTGGAACTGATCTGGGGTGGCTGCATCCGCATGATGTGGTATCATGAGCAGAATCACCCTTTCTTTCTTTCCTCCAAATAAAGGGAAAGGCTGCATAAGCAATATCTACTTTAGCAGGATTTTAGAAGTGGTGAGAAGTCCAGATCAACTTTTGATGCATAATATGGAAACGAATAGGTTATCATTTTACATATTAATATTGTCCTTTAATCTATTAAATTATAGTCTATTTAGCGAGCCTTTTGTTTACATTACCAAGAAGTTTCCTAAGTGATGCTGAGAGGTACAGTAATAGAGGTCATTATTGCTCCTTACTTTCATTGGAATGAATAAATTTTAATGCTTGCATTTAATATTTGGCAAAAATGTTGCCTTTTTCTAGAAGCTGAGAGTATTTCATTCTTAGACCCCAGGCCTTTTCTGGCCAATTACAACACAGATCAGCAGTTAATTCAATGTAACTACAAACCAAAATGAAGCCTTTGTCTCATTACCTGTTATTAGGAAGATAATGCTTAGAACTATTTTCTTAGCATTTTGCTTATGGCATGTGAAAATCCTATACTATATTACAAAATAGGGATGCTTTTCTTTAGGAAATCATATCTTTCTATAAATGATTCTCTCTGGATGCAGTTTTAAGCACCTTTGGCATCCGGGATGCTTAGGTTTGAGCTCAAAGTCCCATCAGACCCATCTCTAGCATCTCGTGCTGCCATCTGGTGTTTTCTTTTAAAGCAGAGTGTCTACACTGTCAAGAGTTTTGTGTTACCCCCACATATATTTGAGAAGGTGACCGTGGAATACAAACCCCAGTTATTGAGAACTGCAATTATATATTTAGTTTAAAGTCATAAGTGCTGTCCATGGCTAAGTATCTCCTCTAAAGGCAAGACTCTCAGTGGGAACATCGCCATCAGAAAGACTCAGAAGGGCAGGATGCACATTCTCAAATGTGTGTCCCCATTTGTATCTATTGAGTTACAAGAATTTAGGGTATATAAGAAGGCATGGGGGAAAGGAAACCGACTTTTTATTGAGTACCTTTATAATCAGTACTATCTGTTCATGACCTTAGTTTAATATTCCACAATATTACCCAAGACAGATATTATTTTCCTACTTTCTATCTGGGGAGACAGAGGCTAAACAATCAGACCAAAGTTAGACAGTGGGTTTGGTCGTGGGTATCAGAACCTGATCTAATTTTGAAGACCCTGTCTTTTCAAGTCTATGAGACATGGAATGTGTGTGACACAACACGGGTGTGGCCACCCTGGCAGGCTGTGAGTGCTGAGTAAGACAAAGTGGACAGAAGTGTGCTCATTCGGCAAATATTTATTGTTAGGCATAGGACTAAGCACTAAATATCGAGTCATAAAAAAGACATGGTTCTTGATCTCATGGAGTTTTTATTCTTATGGAGGAAATAACAGGAAGTAAATATAAACAAATATACAATTACAAATTGTGATATGACCGTGTCTAATGACAGGAGGTGGACATTCAGAATCTTGGTTAGAGAAAACCTCAGGGGGGAAGCAACATTTCAGCTGAGACATGACCAGTAAGAAGAATTAGCCAGGAGTAAATATGTGAGAAGAACAGAATGGCAAGAGGAGGAGCCATTCTGACCAAAGGTATTGTGGTCAGAGCCCAGTGAGGGAGTGACAGGCGCACAAGATGAGGCTGCAGAAACACCATAGTCCCTGCAGCTGTCCAGTGCACAAGGCTCATCAGCTGTGTGGCTCTTGCAGGGGTCCAGCTGAAAGCAGATGAAAGCTTGGCCAAGGCGTTGGTAGCAAAGACAGAGATAAGGTATATGGACAGAATTAGGTGGTCATTGGGATGTGGAGGTGTGTGGCTCTGAAACTTCAAGCTTGGGCAAGTCCTCTGGTGCCATTTTCTAAGATGGGAAGACTTGAGACAGGGTAGGCTCTTGGAGGGTTCCTTTCTGGACACAGCAAA